TCAAATAATACCTAATCATATATTTCTTTTAAGCAGTTCTTTCCCTCATTTATTTCAATGCAGTATTCATTACCCCCTCTTTTCTTAGTTTCCCCCCAAATCCAATGTCAGTCCTGTTTTATAACAGTGGCATTATGCAGTTTTTGTCCTTTTGTGACTGAGATATTTTACTCAGCATAATAGTGATTTAGAGCCTCTGAAAACCCACAGGAGGGTCAGGCTTTTGACTTGATGGCAATGAGGGATTTTTTTTTAGTTATATTTAAAATATATACTCCAGTGTCAGAAAGCTATCATAGTCTTAAGACTTTGCGGGGAAGAAAAGGTTTACTTCAACTGTTACTTGGTAAAAGTAATATGTGATGTAGACAGTATAGAGGCTTTCCTTCCTCCACAGTTGGAGATTATTCATGGTCCTCAGAGTCTCATACTTTGTGTTAATGTAAATATTTCCTTTAAGCTACTACTTGATTTAAAAGTCATAATAGAAACCCTCACTTTGTCCTTTTTTTACTGCATCAGTGAGTTTAGACTGTGAAAACGGGGCAAACACCTCACGCCAAGCAAAATCTTGATCTGTTGTATCTAGAGTGGCTCCGAGTCAGGAGTCAACCTGACAACATCTAACAGCATCGCAGAGCCCTGGCAGTAGAGTTGTAGCGCATTGAGCTGGTAACCAAGAGGATGATGATAGAAGCTCTTGAGGCTTTATCTAAGATAGAAGGTGCCAACTTCATTGATTGACAGAGTGGTCAGAAAATGCAATCATGTGCAATATAGGATGCAAATGAGAATCTTAATGTTCCTTTTACTAGATTGGGTCACTGAAAAAGACTTGTTTTGATACAGGTAAAACCTCTTTACATTCTTCAGTGTATGCTCCACCTGAAGTGTTGTTGAGTGCCATCGAGTCACAGTGACATTCAGAAGGACAGATTGAAAACTTGCTTTTCCTGCATCATCGTCAGGATCTCTTCCATGCTCAGGATCATTGTTGCAGTCACTCTGTCAGACCATTTGTTGAGGGTCTTCCTCTCTTCTGATAATTCTCTACCTTTCCCAGATGACGTCTTTTTCCAAAGACTACCTCCTTCCTGACAACATACTCAAGGTTTGTGAGGCAAAGTTTCACCATTGCTTCCTCTAAGGACAACCCTGGTTACACTTCCTCCAAGACAGATTTGATTGTTGTTTTGGTAGTCCTTGGGATAGTCAATACTGCCCACAAACCCTACAATTCAAAGACATCATTTCTTTGGTCTTTTTTATTCATCGTCTAGCGTGGATACAGAGCAGTTGAAAATTACATGGTTTGAGTCAGGCACACCTTAAACTGACATCTTTGCTCTTGAGTATTTTAAAGATGTTCTTGACAGCAGATTTTCCAAATGCAATGTTTTTTTTTTTGTTTTTTTCCTTGACTTTTCCTTGACTTTTGCTAAAATGGGTGTTGATTATATATCCAGGGAAAATGAAATCTTTTACAACTTTGATCTTTTCTCCTTCTGTTAAAATATTGCTTCTTGATCCAGTGGTCATTTTTATTTTCTTGATGTTGAGATATAATCTATATTGAGGACCGTATAGTTTTTGTTGTTCTGTAGTAAGTGCTTCAAGTCTTCACTTTCTGCAAGCCAAGCTTAACATAGATCATCTGCTTAACATAGATTGTTGATGAGTCTTCCTCCAGGCTTGATGCCACATTCTTCTTCACATGGTCCAGATTTTCCAATAATTTGTTCAGCATACAGATTGAAGCGATATGGAGAAAGGATAAAACCCTAGAGCACATCTTTCCTGATTTTAAACCATGTAGTATTCTCATGTTTTGTTCAGACAACTGCTTCTTGGTCTTTGTGTAAGTTTCACATGAGCACAATTAAATGTTCTGGGGTTCCCATTCTTCTCATTACTATCCATAATTTATTAAGATACAGTCTAGTGCCTTTGCATAGTCAATAAAACATAAGTAAACATTTGTCTAGTTTTCTCTGCTTTTATTCAGTATCTGTCTACAACCAACAATGATATCCTTGGTTCCACTTATTTTCGCACTACCTGGCAAATCTTCTGTATTGTGTAATTAGTGTTACATAAGTCCTTAAATATTGAATTTCCAAACCACTATGTTTTCATTCTTAACAGATGATCTCCTTTTTAATATAAAAATAAGATAGAATAAAGAGGAACTTTCTCAGCATCTAGCCACTGAATCTACAAGGCTGGTTACCTACATCTGAGCTCTTTTACTTTCTGTTCAAGTGAGTCAGCACTCTCCCTAATTCACACCTGCTTATAGTTACTTCTCTCTGTGCCTCAAGCCATACTTTTTCAAAGAGGAAGTCTAGACTCACTTTTTCATTTCCTTCCTATAGTTCCTGTGGAAGTCACTGAAATCTAACTTCATCCACTCTCCTAAAACTATTCTTAACTGTCTAAATCCAGTGTTCCATCCCGTAGTGACTTTTTCCCCTTATTTTGAAACTTCAATGTTAGACACACATGACAACTTCTTTCTTCCACTTGTCCTGTTCTCGACACCACCCTGTGGTTCTCGCCTGCTGCTGGTTCCTTTTCAGTCCCTGTGTCTTCTTTCTGCCTCTTTTATGTTAATGATCTTTAATTTGCTCTCTTTTTCCCTGCACACATTTTCTTTTGAACCTAAAAGGTATTAAGTTTACATTTGTTGCATAAATGAATCTTTCTGAATTGATAATTGCTTGGTATCTAATTGGACCTTGCTACCTGAAGAAATTACAGTATGTTAAACCATGATTCTCAAACTTCACTACTGTCTACATTCAGTGAAAAGAATCTAAGTTCATATTAAACTTTTATGTTTGTGAATAGTTTTTTGTTTTGTTTGTTTGTTTATTTATTTTCATGTGTGTACCGCCGTCAAATTGGATGACTGGTACAGGAGGCGATTGCTCCTCTTTCTTCAGCAGAGCATCTGGTGGATTTGAACTGCACACCTCTGGGATTGCAGTGCAGTTTCCTGCCACTAGGCCACCAGAGCTCGCCTGTGATTAGTTTTTTTAAGCTTTTTGTGATATCTGTGTATATAAAAGGGAATTACAAAGATTGTTTTAAAGAACATTGTAATACTTTTTTGACCATTTACATACATTCTATAGCATTGCTGTTAATAATCTCAATAATCTCAATCTCTTCACCATCTATCATGATGCTGCCAATTGGCCTAGTGGTGAGAATCTTTGTTTTCTTGATGTTGAGCTTCAATCCATATTGAAGGCTGCAGTCCCTCTGCAGCAAGTGCTTCAGGTCCTACTCAGTTTCAGCAAGCAGAGTTATGTCATCTGCATAATGCAGATAGTTGATGAGTTTTCCTCCAATCTTGATGCCACATTTCTCCTCATAGAGCACAACCTACTGGATAATCTGTTCTGTGTATAAATTGAAAGATACCGGATATAGGACACATCCCTGGCGTATACCCTTCCCAATTTTGAACCATGCCATGTTCCCTTGCTCTGTTCTGGCAACTGCCTCCTCCTGGTCCAAGTATAGGTTTCGCATAAGCACAATCAAGTGTTCTGGCATCCCCATTCTTCTTAGAGTCAGCCACAGTTTGTTGTGATCCACACAGTCAAATGTCTTTGCATAGTCAATGAAACATAGATAGACATTCCTCTAGTACTCCTGCTTTCAGCCAAGATCCATCTAACATCAGCTGCAATATCCCTAGTACCATGGTCTCTTCTAAACCCAGGCTGCACTTCAGTCAGTTCACTGTTGACATGCTGTTTCAGTCATTTTTGGATAATCTTCAGCAGAATCTTGCTTGCACGTGATGGTGAAGAGATTGAGGTTATTAACAGCTTTAGTTTGTTTGGCTCCACAAGCAAACTTCTCTTGGTACCAGCAGCCAGGAAATTAAAAGACGAATTGCACTGGGAAAATCAGCTGTCAGAGCACTCTCCAAAGTACTGAAGAGCAAAGGTGTCAGTATAGAGACTTAGGTGAGCCTGATCCAGGCCATAGTATTTGCAATTACTTGCTAGGCATCAGAAAGCTGGACAATAACTAGGGATGACAGAAGGAGAATTGAGGCCTTTGAGCTGTGGTGCTAGAGAAGAGTATTGAATATAACATGGACTGCTAGGAGAACAAACAGATTTGTCCTAGAGAGGGGGAGACCAGGCTACTCTTTAGAGGCAAAGATTTTAAAGCTTCATATGACATACTTTGGACATGTTGCAAGGAGGGACTAGTCCTTGGAGAGGGACGTCATGCTTGGGAGGGTGGAGGTGAAACACAAGAGAAAAGACCCTTGATGAAATGGATTGATTCACTGACTGGGGTAATGGGGGTAGGTGAGTCTGATACAGGCCATGGTCTTCGCAATCACCTGTTATGCATCAGAGAGTTGGACAGTGACCAAGGAGGATAGAAGGAGAATTGATGCCTTTGAGCTGTGGTGCTGGAGAGAGTATTGAGAATACCATGGACTGCTAGGAAAACAAATAGATTTGTCCTGGAGAGGGTTAAACCGGGTGGCTCCTTGGAGGCAAGGATTCTGAGGCTCCGTCTAACTTACCTTGGACATGTTGTGAGGAGAGACCAGTCCTTAGAGAGGGACATCATGCTTGGGAGGGTGGAGGGACGGCGCAGGAGAGGAAGGCCCTCTATGAGGTGGATTGATTCAGTGACTGGGATAATTGGGATGGGAGTGTCAGAGACAGTGCGATTGGCACAGGACAGAGCGGAGTTTAGGGCTGTTGTACATAGGGTCGCTATGAGTTGCAGGCGACTCGACGGCACATAACAACAACAACAATTTCTCTCTCCTGGTGTTTTACATGTTGCACTGCTAACTCCAGGCTCAGTGGTTCTTTTCCACCAGCTGCTCAAGGGGGAAAAGATAGGTTGTCTCCTCCCGTAAATATTTGCAGCCTCAGAAGCCTGATGGGGTCACTTACACTGGAACACAGTGTCTGTTGGTAAATTGTGTTAAACTTTGTACCTTTCCCCTGCAGGCAGTTATTTGGCAGAAATCTAAAGCATCGGATCATAAGATGGCTCTTATGTCAGTTCTGGGTACTGCCGTGATGGGCAATATGGAATCCTTTCAGTACCACTCTGAAGACTCTCAGGTATGCCCCAAAAGGGTTCTTCAGTAATTCTGATTTTTTAAGTGAAGCTTTAAGATATTTCTATTTCGAGAGGTTTGAGATGATAAGTTTTCCTTTTTGCATTTTCATCAAACTATTTTCATGGCTGGTTTCTTAAGGGATTTGACTAAGTATACGTGTAATTGACAAGATTGCAGTATAACAAACTTGATCATGATTGTCTTAACTATATACTTGCAGTAGAAAGAATCACAGCTCATATTCAACTTTTATGTTTAGCTATCTTTTTGTGAATTCTCTGTAAATGTTCTTTCATATATAAGTAAAAAAAGTAAATATATACAGCACTTAAACTGATTAATCCTTTCTTCCTGGAACCTACCTGCCCTTCTACCTTTTCTGTTTGTTTTACCTATCATACTTACAAAGTCGTAGTGGCTCTGGGGTTAAGTACTCCGTTCCTAACCAGGAGGCTGGTCATTCAAACCACCTGGGAGAAAGATGTGGCTGTCTGCGTCTGAACGGTCACAGCAGCATTGGAAACCCGGTGAGGTAGTTCTGCTGTGTCTTGTAGGGTCTCTGTTAATTAGATCAACTCTGGAAATGGGTTATTGTGCTTCCATTGATGTTTTTTTTTAAAGTCTGTTTTTCATTTAGTATCTCACCTATTTACTTTGGCTAAAAAAAGATGAGAGAGTGCTGGTGGCTTGTTGTTGTTAGGTGCTGTTGTGTATGACTCATGACGACCCTACGAATAACTGACCTGAATCCGAATCCTGCCCTTCTGTGCCGCCGTCCTCATCACCTCTGACATACTACAGTCCATTACTAAAACCTCTGTGTCAGTACCTCCATGACACTGGGATCTTTCTCTCCTTGGCAGACTCTCCACCTTTCCAAGCATGATAGTCCTTTCAAGAAATAGTCTCCCTCAGCTACGTGTCAAAAGACAAAGCTTTGCTATCTTTGCCTCTAAGGAGCTCTCTAGCTGCACTTTTTCCAAGACATAGGTATTTGTTCTTTTAGCAGTCCATGGAATATTCAGTATACTTCTCAAGCTCTACAACCCATAAAGGCATCAAGTCTTCTTCTGTCCTCTTTATTTATTGTCCACCTCTCTCTATATAGCAGGAGATTGAGAAAACCATGTTCTGAATCAGGTACACCTTAGTCTTCAAGTTAACATCTTTGCTGTTCTACATTTTGGGGAGGTCTTTGACAATAGACTTCCCCAATGCAGTACATCTCCTTGCTTCCTGACTGCTGGTACCAAAGGTGTTGATTGTGGATAAAAGCAGGATGAAATAATTGACAGCTTCAGTCCTCTTCTGCAGCATGCGTTTCATAGCCTCTCACTTCCATCAAGCAAGATTGCGTCATCTGCAAAACACAAGTTGTTGATGCTCTCCTTCCTATCTTGATGCGACATTCCTCTTCAGAGTCCAGCTTCTTGAATAATTTGCTTGAATAGATTGCATAGGTATGAAGAAAGGATGCAGTTCTGACACATACCTTTCTTAATTTTAAACCTTATAGTGTTCCCTTCCCCCAGTGTCTTGGGAGGTTCTCCTTGCCAGAAGGAAGGAGCATGGTGGTGTAAGCGCAGGAATCGTGGCAAGCTTTTGGAGCCGACTGCTTTCTGGGCATGTATTTGACGTGCAGGTGGTATAGCACTTGTCTGTGCGTTGCTGTACAGAGGTAACTCGTGGTTGCTGTGATGCTGAAGACTGTGACAGTGATGTGCCGATCGTGGTAATGGGCACAGTGTTGGCTGGAGCTTCCCGACTAAATCAAGCCTGGAAGCAGGAGCAGCATCCACTTCCAAAATGGCTTGCCTCCGGAAACTCTGTGTACGAACAGTGCTCAGGTTGTTCATTCATAGGGTCGCTATGAGTCATCTATGACTCGACAGCATCAAACAACAATAACAATGACGATGACAAAGAGAGAGCTACGTTGACCTAGTGGAAAGGAAGCTATTCTAATACCAAGCTGAAGGTGGGTGATTTTCATCGGTGGCCCTCGGCCAGGTTCAAATTGTTT